TTGGAGATTTATACCTGATGTAAATGCACGAGTTGATGTGGGCTGCTGGTACGAGTTGTTAATGGGGTGCGGTGACGCAACCATACCAACATGGCACAAGTATACATATGTAACAAACCTGCACGTTATGCACATGTACCCTAGAACTTAAAGTATAATAATAAAAATAAATAAATAAAAAAAAATTAAAAATAAATAAAAAATAAATAAATAAGAAAGAATGAATAAGACCTACTATTTGATAGCACAATATGATGACTACAGTCAATAATAACTTAATCATACATTTAAAAATAACTTAAAGAATGTACTTGCATTATTTGTAACTGAAAGGATAAATGCTTGAGGGGATGGATACTTCATTCTTCATGATGCACTTATTTCACATTGCATGCCTATATCAAAACACCTCATGTACTCCATGAATATATACAGCTACTATGTACCCACAAAAAATCTTTAACTAAATTTTTAAAATAATAATAATTTCAGCCTGGCCAATATGGTGAAACCCCATCTCTACTAAAGATACAAAAAATTAGCCAGGCATGGTGGCACGCGCCTGTAATCCCAGCTACTCAGGAGGCTGAGGCAGGAGAATCTCTTGAACCCGGGAGACAGAGGATGCAGTGAGCCGAGATTGCACCACTGCACTCCAGCCTGGGTGACAGGGTGAGATTCTGTCTCAAAAATAAATAAATAAATAAATGTGACAGGGCAAGACCCTGTCTCAAAAATAAATAAATAAATAAAAAACAAAGAGTAAAATAAAATAATAATCATTTGTACCTGGTGTTTGTTACTGGTGACATATTCTGCCATCATACTGTGAGATACTTGGACCTTGTTAAGATATGCTGGATTCTTGAACCCTCTCCAGAATGCTTCAAGTTGATATGGAATTCTTTTGGCTGCATCATGTCTCCTTTCATCCACTTTTCCAGTATCCTTATGCCATTCATTGAATTTCTACTTCAAAATTCCTTTGGGCTACAGAGAATGATAATATACAATAGAGTTCAAAATATAAATAAAGCCTTTTTGAATAGTTTTTAAAACCAGAATAAATAATTAATAGGAGGACCTGACAGCATCTTCCATGAAGAAAATGCGGATTTTATTTTTTATCCCATCTCTCTTTTGTATGGATTTGTACAATTCAAATTTTTCAAAGGTATTTTTCCCCTTTGCATCCTATACTTGAGCTATTATGATTATCTGAATACATAATATCCAGGTAAGTGTTTTATTGTGACTTAAAAATATTACTTGCTGAGGAGCAAACTGATGATTTCTGTCAGCTCTTCATTAGATGTCTTAAATCTTTAAGAGGCCACAGCAGTGGATGTTCTTCAAAAGTGGTCTCCAGGCAACAGGGTTTCCAGGCAGATACTCTGTGGACACAAAAGTGAACAGAAATGAGATGGTAAATTTAGAATAGGGAAGAATTTCACATACATACAAATATTATAGTGCCTTGAAGAAAGGATTCCAAAGGAAAATTTTCACTCTACAAGTAATTTATTAAATATGGGATTTGTAGTTATTTATTCAAGATTTGTTTCATAATACTTTAATTTTTACCAAGAAAATACAATACTCAGTATTATCCTCTTTAAATTGAATTTTTATTTAACTTTGATCACATACCTCAAATTACTATTTTCTCTTTTTTTTTCCAGCAAGTCTTTTCATTTTTATTACTCAAAAAAGTTTCATTTTTTATTTAGCTTTCTGACTCTGTGCTTGTGCCTTCAACACTTTCACAACGATTTTCTGCTCCTCGATACAGAAAGCACGCCTGATCCTGTCACGAACACATTTAGCACACATGGAACCACCATAGGCCCTGCTGACATGTTTCTTTGTTTTGGACAATCTCATAAGAACTTTAGGTCTTACAGCACAAACCCCTCGAAGTCTGCCTGGGCACATATCACATGCAGATTTTGGTGCTTTCCCAACCTTCTTGGTATAAAGGTCAACAATTCTATTACCAGGGGTTCGGGACAGCCTAGTTTTGTTAGAGGCTGTATTGTAGGAGAGCCTACGTCGGTATGTCAAACGCTGGACCATTCTGAGTGCCTGCAGACAACGTCCCCGGAAGAGCACTATTTTCTTTTTTTAAAGAATGAAACAGGTGACTAAAGAAGGCAGGATTTAAATATTTGCAATTATGTCCCCCACTCAGGAACAGGTTCCAAATTATCTCACTAATGTCCTCCATAAATGAAGTCTCTCCAAGTTCTTTTAGTGGTGTTAAAATTATTCTACCAAAATTAGAATTATTGTCATAGAGACTGATTGTTTTGTGGACTACAGCACAGCTCTAAAATTGAGCCTCTTGTGAAAAAGAAATGATAAGATTAAGGTTCCATCTACTTGCATGAGTTCCATCTACTTGCATTTTCCTTGTCCCACCTAGCTCCAAAATCAAGCATAAAACAGAGACTTTTGACTACAGCAAATACACTCAGACCACATCTATAGCGCAGAATGTAAACACTTTGGCAAAAATAAATTAGCTCATGTGAATAAGAAATAAAAAGAAAAAAATTCATCACAGAAATATTCATCTATGAGAGCAGACTACCACCTGTTTCACATATGGTATGAAAGATAAGAGATCTCTAAAAAAGTCTCTTCTCCAACATTAGCTCGCTGGCATATTACAACATAGAGACCAACAACAGAAAACAGAAAATATATGTGGAGCTAAACATATTATAGAATGAGACTTATGGACACCTGCTTATACATGCAAAGAATCGGAGTCCTCTGGAAGAAACAGACACTGTAATATCTTGCCCTTGTGTGCGTCAAGACCAAGATAAATTGTAAAAGCCAAAATAATGTATTGTTTACTTGCTGGAGAGTTCACAGCCTGAAAGAATTTTTGTACAGCAAGGAAACAATTACCTTAATTTTCTTTAAATTTATTTAACTTCATAAGTGACTTATTCTTCTCTTATTGCTTTGTAAATGTAACTAACCGAATTATTACTTTTCGTGTCAAATTTGCTATACATTTTTGCCCGCTCCCTGACTGTCCTCCTAAGCAAGCAATATAAATATATCCATTTCATCTCCTTTGCAAGATCAAAAAAAAAAAGCAGTTCTCAATTCTATACATAGCAAATAAATTCTGCCCATGCTGCCTTTTGCATTGGGGAGCAGAATATCTTTTTTTTTTGAGATGGAGTCTCGCTCTGTCACCCAGGCTGGAGTGCAGTGGCCGGATCTCAGCTCACTGCAAGCTCCGCCTCCCAGGTTTACGCCATTCTCCTGCCTCAGCCTCCCGAGTAGCTGGGACAATTTCTGAACATCTTTGTCTTTAGTCCTTTGCCTTCCTATATAGACTGTTCTAAATTTCCAAGTAAGGTTCAGATGAGGTTAGGAGGGTGGATCCCCCACCATGATGGGATTAGGATCCTTATAGAAAGAGGAAGAACCACCAAAGCTTCTTCTCTGCTGTCACCAGGCTGGAGTGCAGTAGCGTGATCTCGGCTCACTGCAGCTTTTATTTTTCTACTCAGATATCATACATATTTCTTTCTACCCTAAGTCATTGAGGCACTAGGGCAAGCAAGCCAAGATCCTTTGGTGTATGTTTTTGTCCACTTTCATTAAGATATACTTATCCTTTGACACTTTTAATAATACTCATCACCTCTGTTTCTCTCATGGTGTGCTCTTCATCGTCAGTACACTTTGCAGGCTGTCTTTAATTCTTACAACGCTTCAGAGAGGTAGATAAGTGGGTATTACTGGTCAGGTTTTCATTCAGTCTAACTGTGGGAATCCTTCCATCAAGATAACATAAAACGAAATTGAGTCCCATTATCCTCACTGTACAGATGACGAAAATGAGACCAAAAGATTAAGTGGCAAACGAAGGGGGAAAAGAAAGTCCTTGTGAACAGAGTAGAAAAGTCTTTTCAATTCCAGGTTTCAATTCTGAGTCTTTTGTGTTTACCATGTTACAGACCTCTCTTGGCTAGGGAAAACAAATGGAATGTGAATGTGATGCTTTAGAAATTTCTGTATACAACCTTCTGTAAGAATTAGAAGTGATAACATTAACCAAATACACTGCACAACATGATTTGTCTGTCTTAAGTTTAGCACTAGAGAACTAGGGAAGCATCTATTCAGAACAGGCCTTTGCCATCTTACTGATTTTATTTTATTTGTTTATTTATTTATTTAGATGAGGTCTCGCTCTGTCACCAGGCTGGAGTGCAGTGGCGTGATCTCGGCTCACTGCAACCTCCAAATCCCTGGTTCAAGTGATTCTCCTGCTTCAGCCTCCCAAGTAGCTAGGATTACAGGCATGTGCCACCACGCCCAGCTATTTTTGTATTTTTAGCAGAGATGGGGTTTCACCATGTTGGCCAGGATGGTCTCAATCTCCTGACTTCATGATCTGCCCGCCTTGGCCTCCCAAAGTGCTGGGATTACAGACGTAAACCACTGCACCCACCCTTACTGATTTTATTCTAAGGAAATATGTCACTCACTATGATTTCTTAGATGAAATGTCCATCCTTTTCTTCGAAAATCTAAATGGTACATGGTACAACTATGATGCTTAACAGATACGCAAAACACAACTCTGCCCCACTACTGTTTTACAGGAAACTTTCTACTCTGCTGGCTGAAAGTTTGGCACATCTACGACTTTCCTGCTTACTCTTAGTCCTCAAGTCTTCTATGTCTCAAAACACTCTAATTCAGAAATTTTAAATGTCTAATCTAAGATGTCAGTAAACATCTTAAGACTTTATGCAAGGCTTATCCCTATCTTCCAGCTGAGGTCAGCAGTCACTGGGTCACCTGCCCTTGGGGAGAGGGGTGTGGCCAATTGCTGTCTCTTCCCATTCATTTCCCACTCAGAAGTCCTCCCCACTCCCAGTGTAGGCCCACCAATGTGGGAGCTGTGGTTGGGGAGAGAGAAAAAGAGAAAAGAGGAAAGTTCTTTTTCAGCTCCTGATAAGTACTGTCCGAAGTCACTGGGCCTCTCTGATAGCAGCCTCCAGTACTTAGACACAGCTTCTCCCCTGCTGGCCTGGAAGCCTTGCTGGCATCTGCTACAAGTGTCTGCTTTCCCTTCCTCCTTGCACCAATTCCTGGCCTTCCATCATCCGCTCCACAAAGACTCAGACTCTCCTGTTGTAGCCCATTGCCCTTCCAGAGGGTACTTTCAGGACCTAGAAGAGCTCCAAGCTGATCCTCTATCCTATGTGGCCCACATCTGATGCATGGATAGTTTAATTTCTTGCCTGTTATGGACTCAATGTTTGTGCCACCATAAAATTCATATATTGCAGCCCTAATCCCCAAAATGATGGCATTAGGATGATGGGGACTTTAACAGAGAATAAGGTTCAGATGAGGTTAGGAGGGTGGATCCCCCACCATGATGGGATTAGGATCCTTATAGAAAGAGGAAGAACCACCAAAGCTTCTTCTCTGCCATGTGAAGACACGGCAAGACGGTGGCCAGAAAGTAGGTCCTCACCAAGAACCAAATTTGCCAGCACCTTGGTCTTGGACTTCCCAGCCTCCAGAACTATGAGAAACAAATTTCTATTGTTTGAACCACCTAGCCTGTGGTATTTGTCATAGCAGCCCAAGGTAACTAAGACATTGCCCTATTTTGGGTGGGGTATAAACTTCCCCACACAAGCCCTTTCCAGTTCTCTCCCCGCACTACCATAGATCCCTTCTCTGAAAAAAAAAAAAAAGTGTTCTGTTCATTGTGCCTCCCTTTCCCTTCCCAGTTTTCCTTTCCACTGCTCAAAAATGTAATCCTCCTCCAGCTAGTCTGATCCACTCACTGATCTTCTGGCATTCCATGTGCATTCAGACCCAGCAGTCTTCCACAAACATAACCTCCTGCTTCACTGTCCAACCTCATTTCTAGCTTCTCACTCACAAATATTGTTAGGTCCTGCACTACTGGACTTGTGCAGTGACCCAAATGCACCAGGTTTTCTCCTTTCCTTCTGACTGTGTTTTGCTTTTGCCTTGCTGTATTAGTTACCTGTGGCTGCCATAACAAATTACCAAAAAATTTTAACTTAAAACAACAGAAATTTGTTCTCTTGACATTCTGGGGACCAGAAGTCTGAAAATAATGTGTCAGCAGAGTCATACTTCCTCTGGAATCACTAGAGGAAAAACCTTCCTTACCTCTCCCAGTTTCTGGTGCTGTCAACATTCCTCAGCTCATGCTGAAATCTCTGCCTCTACAGTCACATGGCCTTCTCTTTTTCTGTCTGTCACATCTCGCCTGTGTATCTCTTACAAAAATACTCATCATTGTATTTAGTGCCGACCCAGGTAATCCAGTATGAACCCTACACCTCAAGATTCTCAATATAATCACACC